TTTAGCTCTTGACCTACAAAAGTATTTGGTATTATATCCATTGACGGCGAATTTTAGTATTTTAATATTAACCAAAATTTAATTTCAAACTCTTTCCTTTTAGAGAAGGAAAGACATATCTGGAAAAAGCAACTGAAATGAGAAATGAAATTCTTAATTTATATACATCAGAATCTGAAGGGCCATTTTGGAAGAAATTTATTAGTAAAATTGAGGAAATTGCTGAAATTGAAGGTAAAGTTGGAGGAGAGATCCAAGATTGAGAAAAAGTTGTTGGCGATGTTTTGAAAGATAAAACGATGAAAGATTTAAAAAAACTGATGATATTTTATGGAATATAAAAAAAAAGATTTTAAAAAATTGCTTTTTAAAAAAACTAAAAAGAACATGACTACAAATACTATGTATTATAAAACACAATTTAAAAGACAAAAAAAATTAAAAAATATACAAAAATACAAAAAAATTATTCGTAAATTTATATTTTGATAGAAATTTTTTAATTTAGTTTTATAAATTAAAAAAATTTAAAATTAGTAGAGACATCCAAGACCGAAAATTTTACAAAATTCAGAATCCAGACTGCACCCAAGTGGGACAACGAAAGACATTAAAACTCAAGACCAAGATTCTCTAGGGCAAGACAAAATTTTAGGTCCCACAGGGAAAGGATTTGCTCTATTACACAATATACGTCCAATCACACTTTATGGGGAGGATTTACATATAACCTTACATTTTATTCCAATATTATAAAGTTCTAGCGACTCACAAAAATGTTACACGCCTAGGGTATATGTTCTAAAACCCCATAAATGCCGGACTCAAGAGAAAGACTTTACCTTGAGACCATTACCGAAAAAAACATAAGAAAAACCTCAGTTTCAAGACAAAGCCTTGTACGTCTCTACAAATTTGTATTAAATTTTTTATTTTTAATTTAAATTTATTCATATTATTTATTTAAAAATTCATTTAAAATTCCTATGGAATTATTTTTATTTAAACATTATTATTATTTAAAAATCTTTTTAAAAAAATTTATTTAAATTTTGGGGATTTTATTAAACAACACTCTTATTTAAATGTAATTTTCATTATTTTTTGTTTGATAAACATTATTTTTGGGATTTTTAGAAGCATTTTAACTACTTTTTGAAATAATTGCTTTAGATTAATGTTTCTCTGGAGAGGGTAATTTATAAGGAGGGGATAATTGTTTTAGAGGTTATTTATTTTAACACTTACTTTTATTTCATTCTAAAAAAGGGATATAGAGAGAAGGGATATTGAGTGATTAATCTCCAAAGTCCCCGATACCCCTGTTAAGATGAATGTGGAATTGGGGGAATTAAGAAGATTCCATTTAATATTTTTTATAAATTATCACTAAAAATATGAGATTAGTAACGGAGGTTGATTATTCAATTTGCACGAAGATGTTGAAATACATATTGTATTAAATTGACCTCCCCGACTCCAACCACGAATTTTCTTTGACTGATTTCAAAGTTAAATGAATCCAAAATATTCCTAAAGTTCATAGGAAGCAAGTTAGTCATATCTTCAATTTTTTTAACTTTAATTTAATTTTTTGAAATTAAGAAAAAGTTTGCAAAAGTTTAGCCACCGGGTACGATTCGAACCTGCGACCACCTGCTAGTTGTTGCTAGGCGCTTTCGCTCATCATATGCAGGAGCTCTACCTCTATGTTTGAAAAGATAATCAAAAAAAAACTTTTTAGCATGCGAAGATAATCAAGCTAGAGTCAATGAAATTCAAGAGTTTAGTCGTAGTCTGAAAATTTTGTTAGAAGAATGTCGCATTTATCTCGAAATGATGTCAGATGACGAAGTTCTCAATGAAGCCTTCAATTATTTTAACTTAAAAACTTAAAAATTTATTTAAATTTAATTGTTTTAAAATCAAAAAATCAATATTTTGTTTGATTTAAATTTTTTAGAGTTTGTATTTTGTACTTTTAATTAAAGCTGACTTTCTCCATCCATGTAAGAAAGAGAGATAAAGAAAGACCTCTAAAATCGAAATTTCGAAACAGCTCTGTTTGGCAATTAAATTCAGAGTTGTGAAATATAAAAGTTGCTAAAGTTTAAAAACTGCAGATTTTTAACTATTTAAAATATTTTTTTTAAATATTGAGAACTTCTAGCCTCGCAACCTGTGTGAATTATGTAAACCCCAAATTTTATAGTTTTCTATTCCCATAACTAAATTTGTTGTAAACATTCTTCTCTAAAATTATTTTTTTAATTATAAAATAAACTTAATAAATAAATTTAAATTGTTTAAAATTAATTTCTCTATCGGCATTATTGACTTTAAAATAAATTTCTTATTAGCATTATCGACTTTCAAATAAAATAAATTTTTTTCTCTATCCACTACCCCTTTTACACGTATAATAAAGCTCCCTCTTTATAAGCCCTTAATGCCCAAACACGCTTTTATGAGCCCTTAAAGCTGTCAGGGATGAGCGCAATGAATTTTTGCGTTTATTTTTGGCTTGCGTTGAGTTTAGCGTCTGCGGACATAAAAGAAAAATTCAACTCAGAAAAGTTTGGGAAATTAAACAATTTTTGGCATCGCAAACGAGATTTTGATATTTTCAATTGCTCGCCAATTTTGTACTCCAAACATTCTCCAGAATTTGTTTCTTTCCCCAAAACCCAAAAAATCTCATTTCATTAAGCGAGAGATTTACAAATTCCAAGATATTCGGGGACGAGCAATAACCTTGGGTCCGAATAATAAAATTAAATATTTTCATATATGTATAAACGATCACATAACCAAATATTTTTGGGCACACAATATTTTTGGATCAACAAATTAAACTAAAATATATTAAAAAATAAACAAATTTAAAGTTAATTTTAAAATATTTTTATTTAATAATAAAAAGAATTAAATAATCAGCAAATTTTTCAACTTTTGCGAGTTTTTTATTTCATGATAGAAATTTACTTGCCAAGGGGGAGAGAGTTTGTTAAATTTATAAAAAAAATTCACAAGGATAGATCGTAGGTTTAGGTATATAATAGCTTAAATTTAATTACAGACTACAAATATTAAATATTTTTAAATAAAAATTTTAATTTTAAATTATAATTCTGGAAAAAATTTTCTACAGAAAAATCTTCAGCAACAAAATTCAATTTAAAAAATAATTGATAATGTGTAGCATATAACCTAATCTACTACTACATATTTATCAGTAGATTAGTTCCACATAATCCACACCTTTTGAATTATGAGATTGTTTGGATTTTGAGGAAAGACAAACTAATTCTGGAGAAAGTTCTGACGACGAAATTGAAGAGAAATTGAAAATAGCAAAATCTCGTTTGCGGTGCCAAAACTTGTTTTGATTTCCCAAACTTTTATGAGTTGAATTTTTCTTTTATGTCCGCAGACGCAAAACTCAACGCAAGCCAAAAATAAACGCAAAAATTCATTGCGCTCACTCCTGATCAGCACGCGTTTGGACATTAAGGGCTTATAAAGAGGGAGCTTTATTATACGTGTAAAAGGGGTAGTGGATAGAGAAAAAAATTTATTTTATTTGAAAGTCGATAATGCTAATAAGAAATTCATTTTTAACGATTTAAATTTATTTATTAAGTTTATTTTTTAATTTAAAAAAATTATTTAGAGAAAATGTATTTAAAATTAATTTTAAACATTTGCTTTTTGCTGATTTTGATAAACATTTCCATTGGGAATAAATGTAAATGCCCTGAAAATGGAAAGAAAAAACTGCGACATTCCCGTGTTAAGAGAGGAGTTTTTTGTGATTGTTTTGGGGGTGGAAAAAGAAAAAATAATTCTGGAAAAGGTTCTGAAGATAAAATAGAAGAAGGTTCTCGAGGTCAAGTTGAAGGTTCTTCAATTAGAACCGGTCATACTTTTGATCAGGAAGGGGCAGGATATGGAGGAGCAACCCATGAAGGAGGTCATGGAATTCATAGTTATGGAGGCCATACTAGTCAACATGGTCATGTAGGGACAAGTTATGGAAAAGGAACTTTTAAAGGTGAAAGTTCAACAGGAGGAGGTTATGTTAATGGAAAAAGGAACGTTTTGTACATTTGCGACAACACGTTTTACTCGCATATACAAGCTAATGTATGTTTAATATTTTTAATTTATTTAATATTTTTGTAAAAATAAAATAAATTGTCAAAATAAAAATAGATAATTTAAAAATTAAAATTAATAACTTATTCAATTAAAAAAATTTTTTTAGGAAGTATTGGCCAACATTTTGTCAGAAAAATATAACGTTGTAAGTGATTTTAAAAATTATATTTAACATGGTTATAATTTTTTGCAGAAAACTTTTTAATTTTAAAATTTCAAGTTTTCGAATTTTAATTATTTCTTAGGATCCGGACCAGGAATGAGCGCTAGAGGCAATCTCAAAGAACGCAAGGCCAAAATTTAACGCAAATAACGCAATGCGCTCACCCCTGATCCGGACTCGAAATGTTTATTAAACTATTTGGGATTCTCAGATAACAGAAAGGTCTCGGAAACAATTTGCGTTGAGTATTAGTCTTTTTTTTGGAGTATTAGTCCTACACATTTTTTCCCATAAAGTCAATTCGAGGCGGTGCATATCTAGCCCCAGTCCCAGTCGTGGTTTGTGGTCGTTTATGATTAGCAAAATCGAGGTCGAGGTTGAAAAATCGGCGAGGACTTAGGCATCGAGGCTCGAACTAGACCTTTCGTTTCCTTTAAGCTATTTAATCAACCTCTGATTAATCAGCATTGAAAAAGTCAAAACTCCTCCCCGGCTTTTGGTTTACATATTTATTTTATTTTATTTAAATGAAAACTAGTAATTTAACTAATATTTTTGTAATATATTTTGTTAACTAAAAATGCTTATTGTTAGATAAAGTTTAAAATATCATGATTGAGGATTGATAAATGTTTATTTTATAATTTTTGATTAATATTAACTTGTAGTTTAACAGTTTTTTTATTTTATTTTTCCAATTTAAGGATATGCTTGTCTACAGTGATAAAGAGAAAGAGAAGATGCCGAAAGGAAAGTTTAATATGATTAGAATACCTGTAGATAAAAGACATTATGATGAAAGTCAGCCGATAGGAAAGCGAATGTTTAAATATAGAATTAATCTAGAATATAGATATTTTGGAATTTATGAAGGTATTTTGGGTTAAAATTTAATTAAGGGACTAAAGATAGTGTTTGATTTTTGAATTACCGTATAACTTGTATTAATTGCCCTCCTTCAAATAATTACCCCGCTTCCATTAATTATCCCATCCAGCGATGGATTAAAATAATAATTACCCCCAAACAAATGCCCTGAAACACGTTTAACTTTCAAACCTCGTATATTGTGGTTTAACAGTCTTCCTCGATTAATTACTCCCTCCAGCAAAAGGTCGAAACAATAATTACCCAGGGTAGTTATTAAAGGATATACGGTAATCACACATATTCACAATTTTAGTTTCGAATCAGAAATGAGCTTTAAAAAATAAATACATCGGTCTTGATTTACTTATGTTTAAAAAATACTTCATATGTGTTAAAGCTCTCATACTATTGAAGGGGAGAAATTATCATTGGTAGTTTTTTTGCTAGCTTTTTGGATGCAGAGATTCTTTCAATTCAATAATTTTAATTGTATTAATCCCCCACTTTTTATTAGAGATTTTCATCCAAATCCTAGAAAGTTGTATTAAAGTTTTAATCATTCCCAAGAGTTGTAACGAGAATTAATATATCAAAACACAAATTACTTTAATTTAATTTTTCTATAGAAATAAACAAAAACGTCCAAATTAACATCTCAAATGATCCCAATGAACCAAACTTTCAACAAATTTTTAATTGGCTTAAAAGTCAAGAATATCTTTTTGGAATGGCAGAGTTTGAAATAATGGCTGGGTCTTTTGCCGTTTTTGAAGCTTTAGAAATTAAAACAACTTTTGATCTTATGAATACTTCGTTCTATACAAGATTTGTTCAATTTTACTTTAATGGCTATAATAAAGAGGAAGAAGAAAATTTTTACAAATTTGTTCCCGGTCAGTTATTTTATAATGTAAAATAATTATTTCTTTGACGACTCTCACTAAAACTCTCTCGCGACTCTCAATCCACGAAAAAAATTTTTTAAAACAGAAAAAAAATAAAAAATATTTTTTATTATTTTTTCTTTAAAAATTTTAAATAATATTAAAGAAAATGGTTCTGCCAAACCTGGAGATTGGAATATTGAAAATGGAATTCTTACAAATGAAGAAAGGATCAAAGAAAATGTAGCAAAACATAAAGAAGCAAATAAAAAGTTGATAGAAGATTTTGGAAAGGGTGATGGATTTTATCAAAACAAACCTTCAACGCTCGAAGATTTATACAAAAACATTAATTTTCATTTTATTAATCAACATCCAAAAGGAAAATTCGAGCATTTCCCACATTTTGATAATGTTATGTATATTGGGGGAATTATTGTTGAAGAACAGGGAATTTTAATACAAAATAAAATTGAGATAGATGATGTAATATTTTATATTATTTACATGATATTACTCCCTTATAACGTTACTTTTTTAAAACGTTTTTAAGTAGGTGTCCACTCAAAAGATAGATTTTAGTGCATCCATCTTTTAATTCGTTTATCTTTTGTATAGGAGCCCGAATGTGTTGTTTATGTTGCATTCGGGACAGTCTATGAAGATGGTGGATTGAAAAATAATCTGGAAATAATGTTAGAAGAATTTAAAAAATATGGCGATTGTTTATTTAAAGTTAGAATTGGAAAAAATGAGATAACTGAAACATATGAAGCAGACAATATAGAATTTTTGAAAGGAATTGCAAAACAGCAAAATATATTAGGTAATTTAAGGGATTAAGAGTAAGGTTGCTGGCCCGTAATGTTGCTTTTCCTTCAATTCCTTTAATTTGTAAAGCTCGAAAAAATTACTCGACGATGGCCCGGTTCGAAAACGGCAACCCTAATTAAGAGTGAAATTAGGAGAGTGATAGTAAGAGTGATATATGTACTATCACAATATGTAAATTACTAAATTAAATCCATTTTTAGCTCAAACAAACACAAAATTATTCATTTCCCATTGTGGACAGAACAGTTTTAATGAGGTAATTTTTAAATTAAAAAAGAAAAAAAATATTATTTTTAAGGCAATGTATGCAGGTGTTCCCCTAATTTGTATTCCAAAATTTGCTGATCAGTTTTACCTTTCTTCGCTGGCTGAACATTTGGGCATTGGGATTTATGTTTTAAATGATGACCATTTTGGTGTAAAATTCCCGGAAGCGCTTAGTAAATTTATGAAAGAAATAACGGACGATGGGATATCTGAAACAGCGTAAGTAGAAATAAATAAAAACTTGTTAATAAGGGACAAACTAGAATATTAACAAATAATCTCAGCTGAAAGTGTTAGGCAGGCTGAGTTGAGTAAATTCTAAATTGAGGAGAGGTGCTCTTCCAAAAACTAATTCAATTTAACTTTCAGATATATAAAAAAGCAGCTGAAAGGAGAAAAGATATCCTTAGTTTATTCAAGTTAAAATTTAGAGGGCCATTTAGAAATAGGTTTCTTAATACGATTATTGATAGTTTTTGAAACACACCGAACCAACCAAAATCGACAAACCAAATCTCACTTTTGTATACTACTGGATAGCTGACCCGATTTTCAAAATCGAAATCAAATTTTGGTACTTTATGGGTATGTAACCACCCTACTATTTTAAGTCTCAGAGTTTTCCTTATGCGTAGAAAATGGTCTTATTCTCGGTTTTTGTTTAGCTTTTGCCCTACATAAGTATCTGGTATTGTATCCTTTGATTTGTAAACGCCAAATTTTAATTATTTCAGTACATATTAAGCAAAATTTAAATTCTTTTCTTTTAGTTATCTTGAAAAAGCAACCAAAATAAGAAATGAAATTTTATCTGAAGGACCATTTAGTAAGGTTTTTCGTAATAAGATTATTGGAATTGCTGAAAGTAATGTTGGAGGAAAAATCCAAAATTGAGGAGAAGGTGTTGTCGATGTTTTGAAAGATAAAAGATGGGAGATTTAAAAAAAACTGATGATATTTTATGGAATATAAAGCAAAAAAAATGTAAAAAATTGCTTTTTAAAAAACTAAAAAGAACATAACTACAAATACTATGTATTATAAAACACAATTTAAAATACAAAAAAATTGAGAAAATATACAAAAATACAAAAAAAGTATTCGAAAATTTATATTTTGATAGAAAATTTTTTAAATTTAGTTTCATAAATTAAAAAAATTAAAATTAGTAGAGACATCCAAGACCGAAAATTTTACAAAATTCAGAACCTAAACTGCATCCATGTTTGACCACCGCAAATATGATCATTCATTTTTTTATACCCGCCTAAGGTATACTTTCATAAATGCCGAACTCATATGACAAAGACTCTACTTTAAGACCAATACCGAAAAAATATTTTTCGTACTTCAAATTAAACGCGGGCTGGGGGGGGGGGGGGGGAGAGAAAATTAGTACCGAGAAACTCAAGTTCCAAGACAAAGTCTTGTAAGTCTCTACAAATTGGTATTAATTTTTTTATTTTTAATTTAAATTTATTCATATTATTTATTTAAAAATTCATTTAAAATTCCTATGGAATTATTTTCATTTAACCATTATTATTTATTTATTTAAATTTTTTTGGAAATTTATTTAAATTTTGGGGTATTATTAAACAACACAGACAAGATTTATATATTTAAATATTTTCTCTTATTTAAATGTAATTTTCATTATTTTTTGTTTGATAAACATTATTTTTGGGATTTTTTTAAAAATTATTTTGTTGAAATAATAGCCTTTGGTAATTATTATCTCAACCTCTGTGTGGAGGGCGTAATTAATATGGGGGTGGTAATTAGTTGAGAGTAGGCATAAATTAAATAGTATTCTTTATTTATCAAGGCTTCAAACTCGATAAAACCTTCATTTTGTAAATCCAACCATTCTGCCTTACTTCATTCTAAATGAAATTTATATTAAATAGTCTTAATTCCTTTAAGGTTTTTAGGTATACATACAGAAAATCTCTAAAATTTTTTAAAGTAATCGTCTATCAAAGTACCTATTTGGGTTTATGCCATACTCTTCTTAAATTTATTTTTCTCAAATTGAATTATGTTTTTGAAGAGTTTCCCGTAGTATAACTATAGAAGTAAGTTAGTCATTTCTTCAATTCTTTTAACTTAAAAACTTAATTAAATTTATTTAAATTTAATGGTTTTAAAAAACAATCAATAAAGTTTGTATTTTGTACTTTTAATTAAAGCTGACTTTCTCCATCCATGTAAGAGAGATAAAGAAAGACCTCTAAAATCGAAATTTCGAAACAGCTCTGTTTGGCAATTAAATTCAAAGTTGTGAAATAATAAAGTCGCTAAAGTTGCTTTACATTAAAATATATTTAATTTTAATTTTTGGGAGTATAAAAACTTTTTTATTCTTTGGGCCATGCACTAATCCAGAGCTAAAACCCATGTTTTATTAAAAAATTTTATACTAATTTTCAATTAAGTAATATTACTAGAAATAATTTTAATTTTTGAGTTTTGAGTTCAGTATTTATTTCTTAATATGCAGAAAGAGTAAATACTAAAATTTATTTTAAAATTTAGGAGTGTTAATTTTTAGTAAAGTTTTAATAAGTCGAGAGATTCAAAATTAAGAAAGTGTTACGATAATATTTTAATCCGTCCGTCCAATTTAATCCGTCCAATGATTAAAAGAGACTGAAACAGGAGCTGTAGAAGACCAACAAATAATTACCTATATCAAATAATCCGTTTAGTGTTTAAAATAATTTAAAAAAATATTTTACTATTTGCATCCTGTCGGCATTTAATTAAAGAAAATTTTAAAATTGAATAACATTTAAGGGCATTTAAGACATGTGAGCAGTGTTTTTGAGCAGTGTTTCATGTGAGCAGTGTTTTTAAATTTAGATTTGTTTGTACTTGTACTTTGTACCACCCCTAATTTTGGCCTCGTACCTCGTACTTTCTACAAGACTCTTTTTTTGCTCGTACTTGTATTTCGTACCTACATAAGTACGAGTACAAATTTTGGTACAAGCTTATATTATATTTAAAAAGGGGAGGGATAAAAATTTTTTTTATTTAAATGCCATAATGCCTTTAGAAAAATTTATTTTAAACAATTTAAATTTATTTATTAAATATATTTTTTTATTTAAAAAATTAATTTAGAGAAAATGTATTTAAAATTAATTTTTAAAATTTTCCTCTTGCTAATTTTGATAAACATTTCCATTGGATATAAATGTAAATGCCCTGAAAATGCAAAGAAAAAATTGCGTCATTCTCGAGTTAAGAGAGGAGGTTTTTGTAGCTGTTTGGGGTCTGGAAAAAAACAAAATAATTCTGGAAAAGGTTCTGAAGACGAAACAGAAATAGGTTCTCGAGGTCGTCACGAAGCAGGTCAAGTTGAAAGTTCTTCATTTGGAACAGGTCATATTTATAAGCAGGAAGAGGCAAAATATGGAGAAATCCATGGTGGAGTTTATGGAGCTCATAGTTATGGTGGTAATATTAGTCATAATGGCCATGTAGGGACAAGCTATGCAGGAGGAACTTCTACTGGTGAAAGTTCAACGGGAGGAGGTCATGAACATCATAATGTCTCTGAAATTGAAGAAGAGGGTAATGGAAAAAGGAAAGTTTTGTACATTTGCGACAACACATTTTACTCGCATATACAATTTAATGTATGTTTAATATTTTTAATTTATTTTTACATTTGTAAAAATAAAATTATTTTTTTAAATTAAAATAATTATTTTCGAATATAAATTAAATTATGTAGTTATTTAATTAAAAAAATTTTCTAGGAAGTTTTGGCCAATATTTTGTCACAAAACTATAATGTTGTAAGTAATTTTGATATTATTATATTAGCATCGTTATAATTATTTACATTTTTCCGGATATTCAGACCCGATAACTCTAATGGGTATTAAGGCTTGTACTTTCCAATTTCAGGATATGCTAGTTTACACTGATAAAGAAAAGAAGAAAATGCCCGTAGGAAATTTTAAAATGATTAAAATACCTGTAGATGAAGGCCATTATGATGAAAGTCAGCCGGAAGGAATGCGAATGTTCAATCATAGAATTAATTATGAATATATATATTTTGGAATTTATGGAGGTATTTTATGCTAAAATATACATAAATACATTGTTACTCAAATAACTACTTTCCCTCGAAAAATTACCTCCCTCCAGCCTATTACTTAATCCCTCCAGCCAGTGTTTAAAAAACTGCACGGTAAGGTTGTCGGACGGTATCCAATATTTCGATCCGAATATCCGAAATTCTTGGTTCGAATTTCAAAAGTTTTTTTGCCTATGGCGCTAAAAAGTTTAGAAGGCTGTATTTACAATTTAAGGAAATGCTGGGGTTAATATTTGTTTGAATTGATCTCTAGATTTACAGCTTTATTCCTCCTTTTAGTAAAAATCCTCTCGATAACTCGGCAAATTTTTGGATCCTTATATCCGAAATTTTAGAGTCGGATATTGGATTCGGGCGTCCGAAGAGTTCCATCTATCTGACAACCTTACTGGACAGCTTAGGAATTAAATAGCTAGTATATCCTTTACAATATTAAAATAACAAAATTTTATTTTAAATAGAAATAATCAAAAATGTTGAAATTAACATTCCTAACGTTGGAATAAGACATATTTTTGATTGGCTTAAACAGCAAAAGTATTTTTTTGGAATTGCCGAATTTGAAGTAATGCCTGCATCCTTTGCTCTCTTTGAAGCATTGGGAATTGAAACAACTTTTGATGTAATGAATACTTCGTTATATACAAGATTTGTTCAATTTTACTTTGATGGTGATAATGAAGAGGAAGAAGAAGAAAATTTTTACAAATTTGTTCCCGGTTAATTATTTTTAAGAGCTCATGTAATATGTAATAGTTTCACTCTAGTCTCATTCAAAGACTTTTAAGCAATCCATAGAAAACAGATTTTATCACTTTTAAAATTAAAATAATAAAATTAATTAAAGAAAATGATTCCGCCAAACCCGGAGATTGGAATCCTGTAAATGGAATTCTCGAAAATAAAGAAAGAAGCAATGAAAATAAAAAAGAACATGAAGAAGCAAATGTTAGAATGAGAAATGAGTTTGAAAAGGGTGATGGATTTTATAAAGGCTTTTACAGCAAACCTTCAACATTTGAAGATTTATACAAAAAAGTTAATTTTCATTTTGTAAATCAACATCCAAAAGGAAGATTCCAATATTTTCCAAATTTTGATAATGTTATGTATATTGGAGGAATTGTTGTTGAAGAACAGGGAATTTTGACAAAAAACAAAATTGAGAAAGATGATGTAATATTTTATATTATTTACTGGATATTAATTCCTCATAAACTTACTTTAATTAAAAAGTTGTTAAGTTTTCAAAAATATTTATAACAGAAGTTGAGAAATCCAAAGAGTTTTATGGTACCCCTTAGGTACCCTTATTAATTAGGGTTGCCATAATGGCCCGACTCGGACCGAAAGATCGAGTCGGGTCTAAGATGTCTGGCACGAAAGTGACTCGTACAGGCCCGACTTGATAAAAACAAGCTCGAAAAAATGCCTCGACCGTCGGCCCGACTCGAAAACGGCAACCCTAATTTTAATGACAGTTTTAAATGAAAATTCTAATTTAAAAAATAAAATATTTATTTTAAGCCTAAATGTATTGTTTATGTTGCATTCGGGACAGTCTACGAAGATGGTGGACTGAAAGATCATCTTTTGAAAATGCTAAATATTTTCAAAAAACATAAAAGTTGTTCATTCAAGATTAGAATTGGAGAAAATGAGATAACAAAAACATATAAAGCACGAAATATAGAATTTTTGAAAGGATTTGCACCACAGCAAGAAATATTAGGTATTGTTTCATTGGAAAATAAATTTTTAATTTTTAAAGATTTTTTCATTTGATTTTTTTGAAATCTTTTTAAATTTCGGTTCGGTAGCTGAATAGCAGAGATGGGTCAGAATTCCGTCTTTCGACTTCCAATTTCATACGTTTTTTTCCTTCCGATTTCCGAAAAAAATTTTGTTTTACGATTTCCGAGTTCCGACTTTTGAGCCAGTTCCGATTTCAGGCTCTTCCGATTTCCGACACCTCTGACTGTTCCGACACACCTCTGCTGAATAGGGAAAAACCCGTATGGGTATTATATTCAAATTTATTTTATTTTTAGCTCAAACAAATACAAAATTATTTATTTCCCACTGTGGAATGAACAGTTTTAATGAGGTAATTTTTAAATTTAAAAAAGTGAAAAAAATATTAATTTTAAAGGCAATGTATGCAGGTGTTCCCCTTCTTTGTATTCCAAAATTTGCTGATATGTTTCACCTTTCTTCTATAGCTGAATATTTGGGTATCGGTAAATTTATATGGGCGGCTAGAGAAGTGAATGATGAAGAGATTAAAAATGAAAATTTTATAGAGGATTTTTCTGAAGCTTTGGAAGAAACGATAAGCGGAGAGTAAGACATTAATTTATAAAAAAACATTTAATTTTATAAAAAAATTTCTTTAGTTTTACATTATTCCTTTTACAAGGGAATATTGTACTTTAAATTAATATCATGTTCTGGACTTTTACTGAAAAATCGAAATTTATCAGGCAATCTTATGACTTATCTTCAAAAATGTTTTAGGCTAAATAATTCATAATTTTAGAAAAGCACCGAACCGTTCCAAAATCGACAAAAGTTGACTAGTATTTCTGCTTCGATGTACAGCAGCTCTCACTGTGTAAATAGACCTTTAGCTAACCGACCCAAATCTCGAATTTATATTTTTGTCATGAATTCCCGATTCCTTAAATCTGGAATTTATTTTTTAAGCCTGCTAGATTCCTTGTTTATACCCCCGTAGAGCTGAATCTTGGGGTTTTTATCTCGTTTTCGGTTTTTTAGAATTCTCGCATTTTTGTTTAGCTCTTGACCTACATAAGTATTTGGTATTATATCCCATAACTAACTAAGACGGCGAATTTTAGATATTTTAATATTAAACAAAATTTAATTTTTAAACTCCTTCCTTTTAGAAAAGGAAAGAAATATCTGAAAAAAGCAACCGAACTGAGAAATGAAATTCGTAAAAGTGGAAGAGAGAAAGGGCCATTTAAAAATATGTTTCTTAAAACGATTATTGAAATTGCTGAAGGTAAACGTGGAGGAAATTGAAAAAGTTTTAAAAAGCAAACCGAAAATTGAAAGTTGATGAATATGTACATACATACTGTGCTGTAGAACAAAAATTTTTTTGAAAAATTTAAAAATTATTTTTTAAAAAACAAAAAGAACATAACTACAAATACTATGTATTATAAAACACAATTTAAAATTCAAAAAAAAAAATGAAAAAATATACAAAATACAAAAAAATTATCCGTAAATTTATATTTTGATAGAAAATTTTTTTAATTTAGTTTTATAAATTAAAAAAAAAATTAAAATTAGTAGAGACATCCAAGACCGAAAATTTGACAAAATTCAGACGTCAAACATAACGTAATAAATTGAATTTGAATAGTGAAAAAAACAAGAAAAATTTAGTTTCAAGACAGTCTTGTACGTCTCTACATATTAGTACATATTAAATTTCTTACTATTAATTTTTTTATTTATTTAAAAATTCATTTAAAATTCCTAAGGAATTATTTTTATTTTACCATTACTATTATTATTTATTTACTAAAAATTTTTTAAGTAATTCATCTAAATTTTGGGGATTTTATTAAACAACATAAACTAGATTTATATATTTTAAATATTTTCTCTTATTTAAATGTAATTTTCATTATTTTTTGTTTGATAAACATTATTTTTGGGATTTTTTTAGAAATTATTTTAACTATTGTAAATTTGCGGATTTTTAGCAAGTATTAAAAAATATTTTAAATTTTGAGGACTTGACAGAGTGATTAACTTGACAGAAAATTTCCTAAAATCTCGAAATTTCCGCCTGAGACGCCAAAAACCGTTTAGGGTCGATTCAAATATTTTTAAAAACTCATAAATGTTGAGACCAAGACGAGGACTTTGCCTCAAAACCGAAAAAATAATTTATTGACAAAAAATGCTGGCCTTATAGGCGTTTAAAACAAGCGAGTAAAGGCTATCCAAAACTAAAGAATTTTAATTTAATTGAAAGCTTTTTAGTTTTTTTTAGTATTTTTAGAATTTCTGACAGTAAAATTCGATTAATAAAGTAGGTTGTATGACACTCTTTTTTTCCAATTTATTTTTCGAAATTTAAATTTTTATGCTGAAGATTTTTCTGAAGATTTTTCTGTTTCTGAGGATTTTTCTTTAGCCTTCCTTCATTTTCTCTGTTAAATTAAAATATTTTTTTTTGACATTTAATATTTTTAATTAAAGTAATCAATGTGAAATTTAAAAAATAATCTATTGTATTTGTAGTTTGTAATTTTTCTTATACATATTTTTACTTTTACATACGATTTCACTGCCAGTAAAAATTTTTCCCTTATGAATTACACTCCATCTTCCTTAGCAATTAATTTAGAATTGAAAAATAAAAAAAAATCGCAGAAGTTGAAAATTTGCGGATTATTTAAAAATAATTCTTTTTAAATATTAAATTAAAAAGTATTTTATTTTAAATGTTAATTATTTCCGATCGCGCATATTGGGAGAATTTAAATATTAAATTACATGGTTTTTAATTGATGTTGTTGTTAACGGTAAAAAAAGAAGGCTTATACACGATTTCAAGATTCTCAGTAAGAAACTTTAAAAACAATGGCTCTGAGTTTACAACATGAAAGCAGGTGATGGATGATCAAGTCCAGTCTCTCCCTTCCTTAACTCTCTCTCCTCCTTAATTTTTAATTATTTTAAGAGATGGAAAAAAGGATGGCATTTGGATTGAGGAGGGCATTGGGGAAAATTTTTCGGGGAGGGTCTCTCACTCAACACTCGCTTGCGTAAAGGCATTGACATTGCCATTAATATATAATTTTAATATATTTTTTTTAATTTTTTAATAAAATATAAATATAATTTTACAATTATTTACTAAATATAAATAAATTTTATAAAAATATTTTAGAGAAAATGTATTTAAAATTAATTTTATACATTTTACTTTTGACAATTTTTATAAAATTCTCCAATGGAGAATTGTGTAAATGTGATAAAAAGATGGGAAAAATTTTGCGCAACCAGCGATATAAAAGAGGGTTCAGCTGTAACTGTTTTTCAGGTGGAGCAGGAAGCTCTAAGAAAGGTTCCGATGAAGGAAATTCTAAGAGAAGTTCGGGAAGAGATTTAGATAAAGGCAAAAAGCCTGCAGTCGAGAACTTTAACCACTTTGAGAAGGACGAAATTAAACAAGAAAATGCAGTAAAAAATTTTGATAAAAGCATGTTAGGAGGTTATTATAATTTTGGTACAGAGCATTCAAGCAAGAAAAGAGTTTTGTATATTGCAGATAATTTTTTCTACTCGCATATTCAATTTAATGTTAGTTTAATTTAATTTAATTTAATAATTAAATTTTTTAGTTGAATTTGGCCAATTTGTTATCGACAAAATATATTGTTGTAAGTAATAATTTTAAAACTAATCAACTCAGTTGTGAAGTATCACTATGTAGTTGTTTTTAGACTTACTAGAGTTAGGAATTCCAATAAACGAGACAGAAAAACATGAAATCTAATCGGAAGGAGACCGGGAAACCAGAGACCGGAAACCATTTTTAGTAATATTTTCAGAAATATTACTAAAAATATTTTTTCTTAACTAAATTTCCGCCACTGTATGTACTATAGCAGAAAAGGAAAAATCGGGCGCCGCTCATAGAGGGAAAAATGCAAGAAAAGGGAAGAAAAGTACACATCCCATTTTGCGGACAGGTAGGACATCAACTGGACATTTGCCCTAAATAACAGTGTCGGACTGCCCCTAAAATTTATTTTAGAACAATGACGTTTCTAAACATCCTTCTTCAAAAGAGCATTGCTTAGATGCCTTTTTATAGATTTTATTTAATATTTTTGCAGATCTGATGCACAATTTAAAAAATTTTGTATATTCTGCTTTCCTATTTTGCCTTTTTTCGGATTTAGGTGCGTATTTTGGCGGATTTTAGTGCCTATATAACGCCTATTTTTGACTTTTCAGTGCCTAAAAATCCTAGCCCTACTCGTTAATGATCGCTTAACCCTCGCCTAAACGTTTCAAATGATTCAACGACACTTGGGGACAGACCTGGGTCCGTAAAATAAGAGCGTGGTTGCTGGTTAGGTGACCAACCAGCGCCCAACTTTTCCCCTATAATTTAAAAAGAAGAGAGAAGTGGCTGCGCCGAAAAAACAGGGAAGAAAAGAAAGAGGAAAAGTATACGGTAATTTTCCTCTACTTTTCTTCTACCCTGCTAAGGGGCAGGGTAGAAGATTTTTTAAAAAATCATTAAAAAGCGAATTTTGAAGGAAAAATTATAAATTTAATATTTTTAAATAGATTGAAGTGTCCTCTATTTTTTGACATAATTTTTGGAATTTTCACTTTAAAACACAATTTATGCGAATTTTTTTAAAAAAGTACCTCATTTTTCAGTGATTTTTTAAGAAAAGGTAGTAGGTTGCTAGAAAAATCATAACTTTTAAATAAATCAGTCAAAATTTTTGATTTTTTGCTAAATCATAGTCAACACTCCAATCTATATTCTGGCAAAAAAATAAAATTTTTACTCCATTTTAAAAAAAGTTATGATTTTTTTCCTAAATAGGGAGAAACAAGAAAAAACGGCGACGCCAAACCCGCGGCGTAGGGTCACCTTGGCGCTGCCGCTACGATGGTTACCTAACCATCGTCTTATTTTACGGACCCTGGAGACCATGGGCCATATTATAAAAAGGGGGTAAACAAATCCGCAACACTTTTTATATGTAATATCACCCAAAATTCGACAATTAAAAATTAAAAAAAATTTTTTTAAGTTTCTTAGATTTAAAAAATAAACTTTAAATTAACAATCATCAATTAATATTTATTTTTAAAAATTCAATAGCCAATTCTTATAAAAAAATTTTTCTTTAATGAAGGAGAGGTTTTTCGAATCAAGTAAAGTTTTGAAAATCGAAATTTCGAAACAGCTTATATATGAAGGCATTACATACTACATACAGCAAAAATTGGGTACAATTTGTCAATCCTGTCCTCCCTTATTCCCTTCTATGTCCTCCCTTATTCCCTTATAATTTATTAATTCATTTAAATAAATATTTAATAAATTTTAAACTTTCTAATACAAATAATATTTGATGAGAGGTTTGTAGGAACTAAATGTCGGTAAAATTGTTTTTACGGGATTTTCTTCCAGCATGGGATCCTGACAACCGAAAAAACTTTAGAAATTTTAAATATTTACATGTATAATAAATATTTAATTATTAAAAGAATTATTTTAATATTTTTAAGGAAATGTATTTAAAATTAATTTTTTGCATTTTCTTA